TGTGGGGTGAATGCATGCGTGGGGGCAGGAAATCTGTCTCTGCGGCCCGGTCTTGCCAAAGCCACGGAGCGGCACTGGGCCGCAGACTGGGGGTTGGGGACTTCTGTTCTAAAGAAACTAAGGTCTACTTAGTTTTTAAAAATGAACTCAGTAGACTTTTTATTTTTTAGTCACAAATTGTTTTTACGGCAATGTTAATGTGGAATTTTTAGTATGCTAAATATGATTTAACTACACTATGTCAAGTTTTTAGTTGGAGAATAGCAGCTTAGATGAGAGGGAGCTTTTGCGACCAACTATTCGTCTCCTGCTTTATGAAGCCAATTCAGGAGCTTAACATGAATGACTTTAAAACACAGAACACATGCATAGAATCACTCATTTCACTGGTTTCCAAAGTGGATGTTTAAAAAAATTTGAAGGGAGCATAAAACTGAGTTTTTCATAGGAGAAAAATATTTTTTTATCAATTTGAACAAATTTTTGTGATAAATATTACTGCTATAATTTAGCATTTCAGAACAAACAATTTGTTATTTTCCTAATTCTAATTGTTTAAGATTTTGTGTTATGAATAGAATTTTTTGTTACAAGGGGCAGAATGATGATAAAGGAGAAGTTGGAAGGTGTGGTGCCAAAAAGTTTGGAAGCCATTGAGCTGGCCCAGCCCCCTACGAATGCAGCTGCACCCTTCAAATCACCTGTTCATATGTCTGCTTTATTCTTCTCTGTTAAACTCATGCCACAGTGAAAGATGCTGACAGTGTAAAACTTTTCATCTTTTTCATATTTGTGGCATTACTTTACACTTAGAATGATTGTTAATGAAGCATTTAGTAATAGAACTTGGGTTATACCACTTTACTGTGGTTTTGAATATTATTATTTTAGTATCTTGTAGAAACAGAGAAAGCAGGTATTTGGAATGAGTTGTATGGTTTGCGTTCCTAAGATGTCTGCAAAAAGAAATGCTTTAATAGACGTAGCGCAAATTTATAGTATCTAACACAAAATGGATTGATTGGCAGGGTAACATTTACAGCAATGTCACTGTATAAATGAGCTTGCATTTTTGTTTGCACAGGGTGGGCAGAGACTCCCAGTAAATATTTGTGAATGTTTAAAGTTTGTTCTTTTCATAAAATAAGACTTTAGGAATGTTATTGAGGGAGGAAGACAGATTGTACTGATACTTTTTCTTTTTTTCCCTACCTTAGGTATGGCCTCACAAGTCTTGGTTTATCCACCATATGTTTATCAAACTCAGTCAAGTGCCTTTTGTAGTGTGAAGAAACTCAAAGTGGAGCCAAGTAGTTGTGTGTACCATGAAAGAACCTACCCACAGATATACGTGAATGGTAAAAATTTTGGAATCGCCCAGCCTCCTAGCAGGGTTGGTACTTTCTTTCAGGCTACGAACTTATTTAACAAACCTCAAAGAGACACTTTTTTGTTCCAGACCAGCGCTGTTGCTTTAAAAAATATTGCAGGTGCTACAAAGATATTAGCAGTGCAGGCACAGCAACCTCAAGTGGAAGCACCTTGGCCCGGGACACAGGAGAGTGGGTTGAACGTCTTGGACCGCCCCCAGCGATGTGGACTGAAGCGTAAGAGTGAAGAGTTGGAGAATCAGACTAGAGCAATGCAGATAGTTGATGAACTGCCTATATTGCCTGCAATGTTGCAAACCAACCTGGGAAATCCAATGACGGTTGTGACAACGGCTGCATCTTCGAAACCAAATGGTACCAGTGGTGATGGAGATTATCAGTTAGTGCATCATGAGGTCTTATGCTCTGTGAAAAATACGTACGAGGTTCTTGACTTCCTTGGACGAGGGACTTTTGGACAAGTAGTGAAGTGCTGGAAAAGAGAGACAAATGAAATTGTGGCAATTAAAATTTTAAAGAATCATCCATCTTACGCACGCCAAGGACAAATAGAAGTGAGCATACTGGCAAGACTAAGTACAGAGAATGCTGATGAGTTTAATTTTGTGAGAGCTTATGAGTGTTTTCAGCATCGTAACCATACCTGCTTAGTTTTTGAGATGTTGGAACAGAATTTATATGACTTTCTGAAACAAAACAAATTTAGTCCTCTTCAGCTAAAAGTAATACGGCCTATACTGCAACAGGTGGCCACTGCACTGAAAAAACTAAAAAGTCTTGGATTAATACATGCTGACCTCAAACCAGAAAACATTATGTTAGTGGATCCTGTCAGACAGCCTTACAGAGTTAAGGTAATCGACTTTGGATCTGCTAGCCATGTATCAAAGACTGTCTGTTCAACATACTTGCAGTCTCGATACTACAGGTATGTATTATTAAGTAATTATTTCCAAAGTTTAGGCTTAGTACATCTGTAGCTGTAATCTTTCTGTGATGTCTCTGTGTATTTGTTCAACATGTCAGCTCCAGGAAAATGTTGATATGAGTTTTTTTTTAATTCTTAAAATGATTTATCAAAAATGTGGAGCAGTAAAGTTAATACATAATATATGTCTAATTAACTGTAAGATTTAATACTAGAAAATTAAGGATTGATTATCTTAAGGGGCAGATATATTCCATTTATTTTGTTACAGCTGGGCTTGGCAGCTTGGTACCTAGTGTATATGCAGAATCTTGTCCTGTGCTTTCAAAGTGCCCGGCTGCTGGTAATAATTCCCCCCTCCCACTTTGATTCAATTTTGAATCTTAAGTTCCTATTCTGATTGTCTGCCCGTCAGTGCTTGAGAGTAAAGCACTGACAGGCAATTGCCTCCATTCCCCTAAGTTGATCTTCTGAGACCCATGTGAGTGCAAATGGATTGAGATCTACTGTTTTGCTGGAGACCCACAAACATTCTCGAATAGTAGATTTTGTTTTGTCCTGGACTCTGTGGAACTACTGAATGTAGTCAGCTGTGGTGATTGTTATTTTGTTTCAGCTTTTTGTTTAGATTTGTGTATGCAGAAAAATCCGGCAGCAGCTAGCTTTTCTTCTCTTGTTTTGCAAGACTCTGCTCTGCACAAGGAAAAACATGGATATTCTGTGGTACCTTTGATGTTTGCTGCTATCTGGTTGCTGCCTTTTGTTTAACTTTGCTCAAATGAAAATATAGGCCTGCAGATTTGAACAATTAGTTGTAGTGCATATCTTTTGGAGGGAAATCAGTAAAGTAAAATTCAAGAAACTTCCATCTGCAAGCATACCATACCATGGGCCAGGGTTAATGGATAGGTTAAGAGAAACCTGGATCTTTTGTTCAACTTGTAATTAAGCAACATAATGATGTGATGCAAACTTGGTTAATGCAAACACTTTTTCTTTTTAATAGTTGAAAAAATTATGGGCTAAAATTCTGTTACTTGAGATAAGACAGTGGACGTAAATCTTGGCAGCAGAGTGCTTTAAGCTAAGAAGTTTCCATAGGAATTTGTTATTGTGTGCTAAATCATACAGTTTGGCATGCAACAGCAAATGCCTATTCTGGTTTCTCAACCTATGGCAGTTGACTGTGACAATTTATGCGCATTGCATTGCACTGGTGTAAAAATGCAAAATATTTGTCATTTATCTTTCAAGTATTATACAAATTTAATTGGATTCTGCTGGGGGTGTTCCTGTAGTCTAATTACTATACGTTCTAAAGGTTAAACTGCATATGTGCTAGCTAAATCTTGTGGGCTTTGTCAAAGAAAGGAAATAGCAAAAATATTTTATTAATGTCATCCAGATAGATTGTTACTGACAGTGGCTGTTAAAGTTGCTAGCATAGACAGGGGTTTGGAGGTGCACCCTACTTCTTTTTCTGCTACAAAGCAAACTTGCGTCTTGAAAGTATGACCAGTCTCTTTAACAGTAGCTTACAAATGCTATTTTGAGCCCTTTTTAGAAGAAATTAGTACTTCACACAGTGAAGGGTTAAACTGTAGAATTAGTTGGGAGGGAGAGGTTTCTGTCAACTTGGGTTTCTTTAACAGCATATTAGATAAATCTGTGGAGATTAGGGTTATTAACGGTTGCAGTCAATATGCCTATGTATTCTCTGTAGTATCAAGCAACAGTTTCCCTCTATGTATTAGTTGCTGGAGAAAACGAGAAAGGATGCAGTTGCAGTCACGTTGCCCTGACAGGCTTACATAGAGAATTACTTGGCCACTGTGTGAATAAAATGCTAGACTAGATAAGCTTTTGGTTTGATCCAGATTTGTTATTATGTTCCTTACAATAGGTAGGATACAGTTAAATAAAGGAGGCAAAAAGATGACAAGCTTGCAGCTCTTTGGTTTGGGAAGTGGATGAAGTCCTATTCCATGTTGATCGCCCTCACGTAGAGCTGAAACATTTGCTGTTTTTGACTACAAATTCCATAGTCACCCAGTCTTGGATGGGTAGGCTTAGGTATTATAGGAGCCATGGTCCAAAAAAATGCATGTTTTCCAAGGCCTGGTCTCCACCCTACCCTAAGTATATACTACAAGTTAACATATGGTAATCGTGCCAGGCAAAAAACCCAAAATAAAAACAAAAATGTTGTGTCGCCTCAAAGACTAACTGCTATGTGAGCTTTTGTGGACAAGTCCACTTTTTCAGACTGTTGTTTTGTTTTGGTTTGGTTTTTCTTCACATGCTAACACAGTTTCACATGGCTTCATCTTCTAAAACTACAAATATGGTAATCAGTGGTGTGGATAACACAACACTCACACTCTTTTCTGAACTGCAGCTTTGTTAGAGGATGGACCTTCACTGGCTTTGTAAGTTTACACAGTGACAATGAAGCTTTCATATTTTGCACTCTAATAGTTCAGCAGAATCGTAACCAGGAAATAGGGAAAATCATCATGCTGAGGCAAATTATTTCCTTTTAGGCTTCCTACGTCAGTAGCACAGCATAAATGGTAACACTTATTTGCAAGATTATTTGCATTTTAAATTAGGATCTGTAAACCAGCATTTCAGCTGGCTGAATTATTTTTCTCGAGTTGAGTTCATTGTATAAGTTGATCTTATTCAGACAGAAATAAGCTTAAATAAATTCAGGGATTTTATTCATAGGATTGTTGCTTGTAAACATTAACCACGACATTTTATACCAGATTATTTTTGAGTTTTATGATAGATTTTAATTAGAGCAATTATAGTGTCTATTATTCATAATTGAAAATTAGTCTGTATAGATTAAAATCGTCTAAAGTTTGGATAGGCTTCTGTAGCTAATTGTGGCTAACTAGCAGACTATTTGAATGGGGTGGGGCTTCCTTGCTCAGTTGGGTATTTGACAAGACAGACAACTCGAACAAACACTGGCAGTGAACCACAGGAAGTTATGAAAACTTGCCCAAGCACCAACAGAATTCCAGCTATAGTGAAGTTATTTCACATAGTACAATCTGTATGTACCCTGAGGCAAGGCTGTACAGGTGTCAATATGATCTCCTGCACTCCAGTATTTATTATTTATTTACTGAAATGTTTTATCCCTCCCTATATCTGAAGATCTCAAGGCGGAATACAGTTAAAAGTATATGTCAATTGATAGTGGAATAGTCAGTAAAACAACAATGTACTGAGTGAAGTTCAGCCAATAAAACAGTAACAAAACAACGATAGAACAATGGAACAATTTAAAACAGAAAATTAAAATAAAATTTTCAATCCTATAGTCATCAAAATTAAGCTGTGATCACTGAGGTCCAGATACTTGGGTGACCAGATGTTTTAACTTGGTGCGTAAAGGAAGACGATGCCAGTTAATGAATTGTATGTGTCCATGGCTATAACGATAGTCCCAAGAAGACCCTCTACCTATACGCATACAATGTGCTGCTCTGAGAAATGGGATACAAGAAGGTTCTGTTAGCAGTTTTTAAAGGGTGGGTAATGTATGTTGGGAGAGGCGCTTCCACAAGTATTGAAGTCCCTAGTTGACAATGTATTTACTACTGCAGTACTGATGGTAATGTTAAAATGCTAGAACTGCACTCTCTAGTTTTCACTTAGTCATATCTCATCAGTATATGATAAGGGTAAATTGAATTTTTAGCGTGCACACGGACCCACACATGCACACACAGAGTGCTATTTTTGTTACTATTACAAGTGGGAAAGGTCATTTCTCTCTTTTGTGTCATGGAAAGTGTTAAGAAATTTCAGTGGACTCATAGGAGGGTATTTGGAAATAAGAAAATTGCATGAATTTGAATATCTGTTGAATAGTAAATGGGAGATACTCCAGGTATCTCCATTCAGTCTTGCTATCACAGTACAGCTTCCAGAAGCTGATAAGTGTAGAAACATAATCAGCAAAGTGATCTAATGAAACTCTTGCTGTACTTTTCATGTATATTTCCTGGTCTGTCACTCTGTGCCTGATGTTAGTGCACATGGTATATCTGCAGGAATTTTATTTTAATACTCCAAACCAAAAGAATGGTTTTCTTTGCCTTCCAAGACTGAGAAAATTATTTCTTGTTCCCAAATAACAGAGTAAGATGCTTAGGAGCCAGCACCAGATTTTTGAATGCTAGCCTTTGTAGAGAACAACTATTTTTGGTGCCATCACCAGTTGCTAATAACGTCTGATTGACAACTAGAATTTTCCAGTCCTTGTTAAACTAAATATGACATAAGATTGGTTGATAAGTTATTTGATAACTTTATAATAAAAGCTGTACTTGGAGGACAAACCAGTTATAATCTTTCCTGCTTTTTGTATTAATATCGCATCTTAAATATATTTCTAGTATTTGGGAGAAGGTGTGCTCACTCTGAGCTGAGAATATTTGCATGTAAAAGTTCAACAAAGATACTGAGGCAAAATCAAGTAAAGCAAATACTTTCATGTATTTCTGTGTCACAATCTCCATTTATATTTTACTAACCAAATATAAAGGGACATGGTGGCACTGCGGGTTAAACCGCAGAAGCTTCTGTGCTGCAAGAAGACCAGCAGTCGTAAGATTGAATCCACGCGACGGAGTGAGCTCCCGTCACTTGTCCCAGCTCCTGCCAACCTAGCAGTTCGACAGCATGTAAAAATGCGAGTAGATAAAGAGGTACCACCATGGTGGGAAAGTAAACAGCGTTCCGTGTCTAGTCGTGCTGGCCATGTGACCACGGAAGCTGTCTATGGACAAACAACTGGCTCAACGGCTTAGAGACGGGGATGAGCCACCACACCCTGGAGTTGGACACGACTGGACTAAATGTCAAGGGGAACCTTTACCTTTACCTTAACCAAATATATTTATGTATGTGGTGTGCCATATACAATATAACGAATGAAAAGCAGCAAGCTTGTATATTTTTCCATCTTGCTGCATGCA